ACACCAAAAAATTCTCTTTTATATCATATTTATAAACCCTAGTAGCCACCCTCTCCCCTCAAAAATCCAAGAATATATTTGTGGTGAATTTTGAGAGCTTTGTGAAGTAAATACTGAGAAGAGTGCGAGATTGTCGGCGTTTGGCGAGGGAGAACTCATTTTCTTATATCCTTAGGTTTTCTAGCAGCATTTTAAGGTGAGTTTCATCTTCTCTAATCTCATCCCCATTTTTAATTGATTTTTATTGAGTTTTATTTGGTTTTTATTGAGCCTTAAACCTAGTTTAAGCATGAATATTATTCTCGTAAGGTATATGATATAAAGATTCGATCTTTTTGCTTAAAAAGGTTATAAACGAATTCACTAATATGAATTTAAGATCTGAAATAAAATTTAATATGAGTTTTCATTGAGTTTTATTGCTTTCCATGATGTTTTGATGAATATGAACATGTTAGGGTTTAGACAACTTAACTAGATATCATGTTTGTGTTTCATGTAGATAATTGAACCCAAATTATATCAAATAAGATTTATTTTTTGTGTCTTCATGTAAAATTAGCAATTTGTAGCATTGTAGATCAAAAATTGAAAATTGAAACATGTATTCTATTTGTGCTCGGGTTGGTCGACCGAAGTAAAGGAGTCGGTTGACTGATCCTTATTAATTTGCTTGTGCATATTTGTGCACGTATTTCAGTCAACCGAAGAGTTATTTTCGATCGACTAGTCTGTGTTGCGCTATGTTTGCTATTTTATTGATATGTAAGTTAATCGTGAATACGAAGTTTGGGTCCTCACATCGAGATACTTGTTTGGACACTAAAATATATGTTTTGGGGTTGCGTTCGCACAAGCGATAGAGGTGAGTAACATTGTAAAACCCCGTAAATTTGAATACTTTATGATAAATAATGATAAATATGTTATATGGTGAAAAATAATATATTTTAATGTTTGGATATGATAAGAATTGATTTGAGATCAATTCAATATATATTTGTGAAAATATGAGTGCAAATGCACAAAACATGCACAAAGGCCAAAAGAGTGAAAATCTGGGAATAATGACTAGTTATGATTTTTTACATTTTGCATACCGATGCAGTTTGAATTCGAAAAAGTGTAAAATATCAAAGTTGTAGGTCTCTTCAACAGATTTCCAATAAGTTTTAGATCACCTCATTCCGAGGTCGTATGAGAAAGTTATAACCAAAATACCGAAGGGGTATTTTCCTAGTCAGACTAGGTTTCCTGGTTCGGGTCTAACAGGTTTGTTTCGGGTTTACCTCTATAAATACCTGTATTTTTCATAAAAATTCCTTTCTTTTATCATATCTAAGAACCCTAACAGCCACCAAACCCCCATAAACCCTATTTTAAATTCTTGGAGAAGATTGGAGGCTTTCAAGTTGGGTTTTGTTGATTTTTGGCTTTTGGAGTGGAGATCTCCTTCGACGTTGCTTCTAACAAGTTTTTCTACAACCCCGGGAGAGTATCATCTCTACTAATCCCCCTCCTAGTTTTTAAAATATTTTTTAAGAGTTTTTAATGAGTTTTATAGAGCCTAATCAATTAATTTGTGTATAAAAATTGGATCTTTTGTATATATGTATAAAGACTAGGTCTTTTCATGTTAAAGAGATTAAGCACGAATTTACAGAAGTATTTTAAGATCTGAAAATAATTTAAAATATTGTTTATCTGAATTTAGATGTCTTATTCTTCGTTTTAAAGTTTTGTGCATGATTGAAGGTTTACGTATGATTTCTTGTGCAAATAATCATGCTTGTTATGTTCTGCTGAAAATCTGCTGCACATATATACTATTAAACTAGAGATTTAAAATAACAAATGAAATCAAATTTGAACTAAACTAATATCAATTGAAAGATATGTGAATCTAGTTTTCAAAACAGAAAACCATACCTAAAGATAGTTTTTCTAGAGAAAGATATGCAAAATTTACTGATGATATATGATGCAGAAAATCTGCTGCACATATAAAATGTTTAACTGGAAATTAGAAATATCATATGAACTCTAAACTGAACCAAATCAGTGTCAAATGATAGCTATGTGAGTCTAATTTTCAAAACGAAAAACTATTCTTAAAAAGAGTTTGTCCATAGAAAGATATTCTCAATTTACTAATGATATATTCTGCAGAAAACTGCAGATATGCTGATTTGAAATAAATTGATATATTACGTAAAGGTTTCTTGAGTTTCGCTCTTGTTTGTTATTTTTTTGAGAGAGTTTCTCGATCTTGCTTAAGAGTTGTTTAACATCTGGGATAATGATGAACACCAGATATGGACACGCACATCGAGATATGTGCACGTACACTTAGATTATGTTGTGTTAACATACTTTTTGTCGCACGTTGAGCTGATGAATACATATGAAAGAGTATAGTTATTTCATGTATCCGGAAATAGGGAGATAAAACCTATTTGCCGCAGAACGATTGAGTAAAAGTATTACAAAAGTATCGTTATTTCATGTATCCGGAAATAGAGAGATAAAACCTATTTGCCGTAGAACGATTGAGTAAGAGTATTACAAAAGTATCGTTATTTCATGTATCCGAAAATAGGGAGATAAAACCTATTTGCCGCAGAACGATTGAGTAAGAGTATTACAAAAGTATCGTTATTTCATGTATCCGGGATAGGGAGATAAAACCTATTACCGCAGAACGATTGAGTAATAGTATTACAACAATATCGTTGTTATATGTATCCGGAATAGAAAAATAATAAACCCTATTTCCGCAGAGCGATTGAGTAACGAGCATTACAAAATTATCGCTATAGTAGAAGATGATGCACACATAAATGTTTGATCAGTTGTAGGATTTACTTCTATGATAAATTACCTGCGAGTAGGGTATTTTTCCTTTGAGAATTTGTTACACCCGTTATGAACGACAAATATATATATTTTTAGCTTAGTTGGTATCCTCTTATATTAGAGTAGGTCACTCGGACGTAATTTGAGATGAGATGATTATTCTTTATGTTGAAGATTGGAGTATTTTATCATTGATTATTTGTTTTTCATTCATAGAGAGTTATATGAATGATTTGATATAGGTATGTACTGACTCTATTTTCTTATATACTCCTACCCCTTCCCCTGGGGAGAGGTAGTGATGATCTCGCTAGCGCTTTGACACTCGTTGTTTTCCCCCCTTTCAGGCAGCGAGTCTGGCGCACGGAGAGTCGCAGGTTGATGAGACTTTTTAGTTATCCATTTAGTTACTTATCATATTTTGTAGTTATTGTAGAACTCCACATGTAGTTGATCATTTTCAGAATCTAGATTGGTATTTTGTTTCATAGAGTTGAGAGCTATTGTAAGATTTTGTTTATATGACTCATTGTATCTGAGATTCAGTTCAGACTCAGAGATATGTCTATTTTATTCCAGTTGGGCTTATTATTGATTTTTCTTATGCTTCTTCTGTGATTATCCAGTGTTGTCCTATTTTTATTTTTACCTGTCTGTACCTTCACCTA